CCGCCAGCACCCTGTAGGTCAACAGCGGAATTCGCACTGATGAGTCGCATGTTTAAATTTGGCATGTTTTTACGCCCTTTCCTGATGCAACCCTCTCTATTTTTATCTGGTCTTGGGACCAGCACAGAAGTCACTGGCTTTGCAACCCCTGTGACTAGATTCTTAATAATTAACAGTTAAGGAGGTTATAAAACAAGAGTAAAAAAAACAAACACCTCCTTACTGCCAGAACCAAGGCCCTGAAACTGCAGCTAAATACATTTAGCCATACCTAATAAATTTTCACCTGGGACATGTCAAAAAGTATGATGAAAAAAGCCCATTTCCCATTTCACTTCAAATGAATCAGTCTCAAATGCCATTTTAAGTGTGTAACCCAACACACATGTGTATGTTGAGAGAATGAGAAAGGTACAAGCAGTCTGACTCAGCGACAGACACGCAGACAAAGTGACACAAACACCCTGGCAGATCGACAGTCCAACACACAGCTAGCCAGAAGCTAGGCAAACTGCTGCAGATTGTGCCCTCTTCCTGCTCAGCAGAGCAGAGAGGCTGCAGAGCAGAAAGAGAAGCCATAGTCTGTGGCTTCTGTCATGGCTGCCAGCTACCAGTCCACTGTTGCGGCAAGTTGATAAAGTTGCTTTTTATTGGGCACACACCAGGCCCCCAAAACAATTCCCTGGAGTGAGCATGACGATGGACTGCTTTCAGTGTCACAGCCCTAAACCTGCAAAAAAAAAAAAGCCTAATTAAACTCATATGGTAGATTGCAGTATTACAGTCTGAGGACTGTTTGGAGACAATAGAGAAAGTTGTCCTAGTTAACAATATGTGTTGTAACTCTATTTTTTCTGTTCTTGCAGATGCAAAGAAGCAAAAGAAGGAAGGCAAGAAGCGAGAGCGCACCCAAATGGACTGATGAGGTTTGTTTGAGGAAGGAAGAAGCGGGTGGGAGAACGCTCACTGACCTGTTTCATCAGGATTCCTCTTTACATGTCCTGTAGGTTGACAGTAAGAGCCTATAGAGCTTTGACAAAACCAGTGGAAATATGAGTTTTAGTGACAGCAAGTTTTACTTTTCCTTCTTTCTAGCCCCTGATGCCAAGCCAACTTGTATATTGCAGTAGAAGTTATAATACTCAGAGGTAGGGATGAATAATGAATATAGAAATTTGTTTACTAGTGTTCTCACCTAATGATGTTATGTCTAGGATTATTTTCTGAAGAACAAATTGGATAGGATTAGTTTTACTGTTGCATACCCTAACTCTAATTTTGAAAGCTCTTTGGTTCATGCCCTGACTTAACATTGTTCAATGGTTAGAGAAAAAGACTTATCATGCCCTAATGGTATACACAGTAATCCTGTAGTCTGCCAATTCTTTCCTTTCTTTCCTAATTGTAGTCCTTTGGTAGAACAAATACAAACAATATAACTGCTAACATTGCTTTGCCTTGCAGTATCAAACTAAGTCAAATCAAATTTGTGTATATAGCACTTTAAAAACAAACATTCAGCCGACCAAAGCACCTTTCATAGCAAAGTACACGAACTGTAATTCTTTCATTTGTTTTCTACTGCTGCTCTATTGTACCTCAGTTTAAACCCAACGATTTTTACTTCTGTATGTAAAAAATTAAAGTCCTTAATATTGCAGTTCTCAGTTGGACTTAATGATCCCTTTGTTTTTTTTTAAATTTAAATACAGATATAATATATGTAAAAAAAAAAAAAAAAAAGATAGTAAATATTCCCAAAGGGTTTCTTTTGTGCAGTCAGTCAAAAACTCAAAAAATTCAAACACATTTCATATAATTTTATTTGAATTTCATTCTGAGAGAATATGGCACAATGTAACCACTTAATGCAGTTGATATTACAGTGTTGTAGGTGGGCAGTTATAGTAATAGTCAGAATTATTGTCCAGAACAAAGAATCAATCAAGAATGCATCAAAACAAAAATCAATACCATTGTTACTGTACAGGAAGTATAATAGTGGGGAGGAGGAGAAATGAAGGATTTTCTGGGGATGGGGGGCATTTGGATAGTTGCTATTAAACACGTGTACTGTATGTACATTTAAAATGTACCGCCTCTGAATTACATATATGTATTATCATATATCTATCTATCTATATATATATATATATTATTTTTCCTATTGCAAGAGAAGCCACAAGCCACAGTGAGTGAACACACAGTGAGCACTACACACATAAGCAAATGAAAAATAAACTCTAGAATATACATGTAGCACTTGCAGCAGGCTATTGATGTTTTTTCTTACTGTTTCAAATACACAATTATCGTAACCCCTTTAAAGTTCCAATCCATCCTCAAAACTTTGGTTGTTCTGCAAAGAAACACATTTTCCCCAGAATGTCAAAATTGCAAAAGTTATAAAATGTGTCCAGTAAGGTAGCAGATGAGCAGCCTTAGGATGCTAAGGTGAGTGTGAAGCATCATAAATTTACAAGTGAAATCAAAATGAAGCCTCCGGGCCTTTGGGTCACACTGAAACTACTTTTACCTTATGTCCTCCTCCTGGGTTTCCACATTTGCTCTATTTTTCCCTTCTGGCAGGAAAAGTCACTTTTGAAATCTCTTGCTCTGAAGTTTAAAAGTTTGGATACAGCTACTTGTTTTGCAAAGCAGGAACCCATTTATTAGCAAATGATAATCTCTTTGAAACATTGTTGTAACCCACAATACTCAAATCTTTATACGGTAGTATTGCTAATTTTAAACCAAAAAAACTGGCTGTATACTGATCATATTCAAAATTTTAATACTATATTTCTACAATGATAAAAGAAACAGGGTTAAAAAATGTGAAAGAAAATATACAATATAATGTATTTATAGGTGTTCCAGTGCCAGACAAAGGTTTCTCTTTGGAAGCCTGTTGGTGAAAGACTTTAAAGAGTGATGACAGAGAAACAGACAAACACACTGTGCGCATCTTCCCTGATATTTTGTCCAATCTGATGTCTTCATGCTGAGGATTTAAAAAAAAAAAAAATAAAAACACAGCACAGCAAACTGCATGCACAATTGTAACGCACACACTCAAAAAATGACACACTTGTCATGATATAATGACAGACACAGGGTTTGCACAGCAAAGCACACTTTCCCATATGACAAAACACACACACACACACACACACACACACACACACTCACCAGTTGCACACACATGCTGGATGGAAAATCAACCAAAAATAGCCCGCTGTGCCTGCAGGATGGTACTGAGATATGTCACTGCTCGGACTGTGTACTGCATTGTTGTCAAGGATGTTAAGATGTAGACTTTAGATTGTTGACTTTTTCTGCAATCTGATGGTGGTTGTTAAAGTAAATTACAGTAATGGGAGCTCAGAGCTGGGAAACACAGTATCTTCAACAACAACAACAAATAGTTTAGGAAGGCTGAATACCATGCTCTTTAAACTGCAGCACAACTTTCAGCACAGGCACACTAGAGATACAACAGGGATTTTAGGATAAAAGAGCAATTTATTTATGTCACTCTGGGTAAGGCACTTCAAATTGCTCTTGTACAATCTGACGATAAAAACTTTCTGTCTTCGATAAAATTCACAAAGCAGCTGTAAAAGCTTCTGCATTTTCCTTTCTGGATGGCTGCACAACATTGATGAGATTATTCTCAGCAAGAGTGAAGCCAGAGAAACTTTAAGTTTGAAGTATTCTCTGATAACTGTTACTTGTCATACAGTATGTACTCCACAAAAGGAGTGTAGCCCTTTGACATAAGCCGTACGAAGAGGAGCCCAGGTAGCTCTGACGGCACATTATGGTCTGTTGGTTACAACAGAGACAGTGTTTATGACAGATGAATATCAACATATATGTCCTGTGGGTGAGCATATGTGCATTTGAATGGACTTGTAAAATGTGCTCCATAACCACTAAGTGAGAAATTATGGATTGTGTTTGCACAGCAGGAGAATGAGAGGCAATAAATGTGCAGCAGAGATGGTAAACAGTGGCCTATCACATTGTGTTTACACTAAGCGGCACGTTTTGGTCTGGGATACTTAAATTCCTGCGTCAAAACCCTTGGCTGACCTGCCCAGAACGGCTGTGGCTTCTCCAAACATGCTCCAAATGCAGCATGATCCTCTAGCTTTGGATTTTGTCATTGACACCCACCCAAGCCCTGCAGTAACCATGACTACAAAGGCAAGTATATTTCTTTTATGTTAAAGTGTACTTCTCGGGGCCTATCAGCTGGCTTCCTCCCGCCCATGCACAGCCGCTCTTTCACTGTCACCGAGTCATGCTGTCTCATTCTATCATAAGCCCACGTTGTCTCACAGCCCTAACTGGCCCCCGTTTCCAACACAAAGACAACCCTTGACACAAGAACGCTGTTTTGTTGTCTCATCTGTTCAACAACTTGGCAACAAGAGCGGAGGGAGTGAAACAGGAACGAGAACTTTGCTCCTGCTGCTGAAGTTGCATCACGAGGAGATAAAGCAGAAAGCACTTGTTTTTTAGATGCACCCACCCTCCTCCAGCTCCAGGAGGTGATAAACTGCCATTGCCTTCCATCAAACACTCAAGCAGCTGCTCAAACTGGGACCCCCAGACCGCTGCTCGAGCTTCCAGCCACTTACTCTTCTGCTGGTATCACTCAAACGACAGCTTAGCAAAGATTAATCAGATATTCTGGAAGGCTCTTTACTGACCACTGAGATGTGTGACAGATGTCAGACAGACATGGCTCCACTTATCACTGTGACGAATGGGTGGATGCTGAACTTGGATGGATGCCTCAGTTCCTGCTGCTCACATAGATGAGCATGGACAGTTCATGCATGTGCAGCAGTGGTGGAACATACAGTTACTCAAATAGTACAGTATACTATATAAAAAAAAAAGCTTTAAGGACTTTAACTTTAGTTTTTATTTTTTATTTTTATGCTACTTTAGACAAGGAGTGAAGCGCTCTTATCTCAGTTTCGACAGTTGTTCCTAATTTGTAGATTTTGCATATTGTATATATAAAACATGACCAGCTTAGATGATAATAGTTATTTATGTAACTTTAGATGCTGCTTACATAGTAATAACATCAGTAATAACAGTCCGATAATAAAACACTGAAGATTCAGCATAAATAATCCTAATGATACATTTCAGTACTACTTATGTATCTCCATGTACTTTACTGTCTTCAGATGTGTTGTTATGCCCGACCCACAGCTAAAGATATTCAGGTATATGAAACAGACAAAAGGAACAAGAATTCTCATTTGAGGATCCCAAACTGATAAATTTCTGACGTGTTTGCTGAAAAATTATGAATTTTTTTGAACTGTGTGCTGTTTCAGGTCTGTAAAGCTGCGAGAATTGCAGGAGACAGATCCTGGTGCAGCAGAGGGTGAGGTATTCAAGCTTTTATTACCTACTGTTGTTTACAATCCAGAAACACTTGAATTCTTCATTTGCAAAAAACAAAAAAGATCTAAAATCAAATATGTCAAATTAGCATAAAGTAAAATGTTGAATGCAGGACATAATTTTACATAGTGATGCTGCAACTTTAATTTCAGTAAAGAATCTTAGTACTTGTTTTCCCCTGATCTACAGCCACATGCTAAAAATGCATACACATCTCCCTGATGTCTGGTAATTTAACATAGTATTTATAATGTTGTTGTAGGTTGACAGCAAAGAAATGCAAACTCAAAAGAGAAAAGAGCAAGTTAATGAATGTGCATGTGGTATTTACATTACATTTATGACCTCATATGAGGTAGAGACTATAACAGGATCAGGATTGAGTGGGCATGTAGCATGAAAGCATTTAATGGGCGATCTTTAATCTCAGATGTAGGTGTTCTACATCATCTCATAATCTGATCAGCCTCATGGTGATCTGTCCCAGATCTCTCTTTACAGAGACAGCCTTGAGGAACTGTTCACTGCAGGTGCAACTTTGTGCAAAGCCCCCTACCAGTCCAACCCCTGATGGCATATTCATCACCTCCAACTGCTGAATTAATATAAATGAGAATTTCTTAATAGGGTGAAATGATGGATAGCATATATGAATACACAGAACATATCTTAGTGTAAACTAATATTTTAAAATTAAAATAAGCACATCTGTTTTTACTTTTAATATAAGAAAACCACGGTTTTCATAGAATTAATTAATACACACCTTAATTAAGAAAACAAGGTTTACAAAACATGTAAAGATTCAAAATATAGCCCTTATTTAAATCACAAGGCTGTAACCTGTGATCAGGAGACTCCACTCTCAGAGTGCACAAACATGGCTACACATACATACACACACGCACACACAGGTCTTCACAATCATCATCAGTACAGTGCCATGCACGCTGTGACACCAATCCACTAATCAGTAGGATCAGATGATGTCTCCCATTCATCCTCACACAACAAAAAATAAAAACAGCACAATGCCTTCCTTCCCACAGTAATAATCCACAGCTCTGAGCTCTGACCACTTGCTTCCCTCACAGAGTAGGGGGCTTCCTAGCAGTGAATAGCAAACATAAAAACCTTAATAGCCACAATAAAATAAACATCAGATATCCTGTCAGCAGCCGTAGAAGCTGATGTGATGTGGTATAACGGCTCAGCTAGAAAATCAAAGCGTGAACTGAACAATCAACTGTTGTTGCTCGGTGCCTGTTGTTACTAGAGCTTTTAAAATTCTCTCTGAGAAATGACAGGTTGTGTTCAGGGAGTTTTATTTTTTAATCTGTACAAAATGGGGAAAAACATTTTGTTTCTCCATGTTGTGTTTCTTGGCCAGCTGCAGTGACATCCTCACATTGACAACGCTTCAGGAAATTTCTGTCTCGCACACAACCAAACCACCAATTGTATTCAGTTTTTGTACAGATTAAACAAACAATTAGCAAGCGTATTAATTAGCAAGGTTTAGAGGTGCCAGATGGATTGTTTTAAACCTTTTGGCACAGTCAGGTGAGCTGTTTCCACATCACTAACTGTCACCTGGCCCCAGTTTCATATCTAAAATATGAGTGGCACTAATCTTTCCTTTGAATTCTTGACCAGAAAGTGATTAATCATATTTCCCAAAATGTCAGACTGCTCCTTCAAACCAGAGTCGGGAGTTCATTCTGTTATAGTCGCTCACACACGGAAGGGTGAATGAGCGAAAACAAAAGCACAGACCCTGTTAGGATGGCTCAAACACGGAAGTGAGCGAGTCACAAAAATTGACGGACCCAGGTGATTGACGGATCCAGGTGATTGACTTCGATGCAAGCAGTGCAAGTTTATTTACAGTGTAAAACAAGTGACCAAGAAATGAACAGTTGGGTAACACCGGGACCGGGTGTCGAGCTTCGGATGGGAACACAGTCAATGGTGGAGATGATGAGAAGAGTACCGGGCTGCAGACACTGGGACTCACTCCTGTACTGGTCGAGTTGGATGGTACTGAAGAGGAACAGAAATTGTACATACGGTAAGTAGAAGACTGTGCATCGACCTGCAGGGTGGTGGTGAAGCAGAGTGGAGGAGGTCCGAGGTCTGAGGTCCGTGGTCTGAAGGAGCGACTGAGGCGAGGAGGGAATGACTAAAGGCAGCTGGAGAGAAGGAGACAAAAAAAAAACTAATACAGATCAGAATGAACAACGGGGAACAAACGGGCCTGAGAAATGCTAGAAAGAACTGGCAGGGGAGGGTACGGAGAGCCATATTATTTATAATGTTGTAGGTTGACAGCAAAGAAATGCAAACTCAAAAGAGAAAAGAGCAAGTTAATGAATGTGCATGTGGTATTTACATTACATTTATGACCTCATATGAGGTAGAGACTATAACAGGATCAGGATTGAGTGGGCATGTAGCATGAAAGCATGAAATGGGCGATCTTTAATCTCAGATGTAGGTGTTCTACATCATCTCATAATCTGATCAGCCTCATGGTGATCTGTCCCAGATCTCTCTTTACAGAGACAGCCTTGAGGAACTGTTCACTGCAGGTGCAACTTTGTGCAAAGCCCCCTACCAGTCCAACCCCTGATGGCATATTCATCACCTCCAACTGCTGAATTAATATAAATGAGAATTTCTTAATAGGGTGAAATGATGGATAGCATATATGAATACACAGAACATATCTTAGTGTAAACTAATATTTTAAAATTAAAATAAGCACATCTGTTTTTACTTTTAATATAAGAAAACCACGGTTTTCATAGAATTAATTAATACACACCTTAATTAAGAAAACAAGGTTTACAAAACATGTAAAGATTCAAAATATAGCCCTTATTTAAATCACAAGGCTGTAACCTGTGATCAGGAGACTCCACTCTCAGAGTGCACAAACATGGCTACACATACATACACACACGCACACACAGGTCTTCACAATCATCATCAGTACAGTGCCATGCACGCTGTGACACCAATCCACTAATCAGTAGGATCAGATGATGTCTCCCATTCATCCTCACACAACAACAAAAAATAAAAACAGCACAATGCCTTCCTTCCTGCAGTAATAATCCACAGCTCTGAGCTCCGACCACTTGTTCCCCTCACAGAGTAGGAGGCTTCCTAGCAGTGGTGAATAGCAAACATAAAAACCTTTAATAGCCACAATAAAATAAACATCAGACATCCTGTCAGCAGCCGTAGAAGCCGATGTGATGTGGTAAAACAGCTAGAAAATCAAAGCGTGAACTGAACAATCAACTGTTGTTGCTCGGTGCCTGTTGTTACTAGAGCTTTTAAAATTCTCTCTGAGAAATGACAGGTTGTGTTCAGGGAGTTTTATTTTTTAATCTGTACAAAATGGGGAAAAACATTTTGTTTCTCCATGTTGTGTTTCTTGGCCAGTGCACAATGATGACAACGCTTCAGGAAATTTCTGTCTCACACACAACCAAACCACCAATTTTATTCAGTTTTTGTACAGATTAAACAAACGAGATGCATGTTAATTAGTAAGGTTTAGAGGTGCCAGATGGATTGTTTTAAACCTTTTGGCACAGTCAGGTGAGCTGTTTCCACATCACTAACTGTCACCTGGCCCCAGTTTCATATCTAAAAATATGAGTGGCATTAATCTTTCCTTTAAATTCTTGACCAGAAAGTGATTAATCATATTTCCCAAAATGTCAGACTGCTCCTTCAAACCAGAGTGGGGGGTTCATTCTCAACAACTGGTTCAAAGCACATTTTAGAGTTGAGTATATCTTCATCCTTTGGATAAATATATCTGTATCATATGGAACAATATGGGTCATTAATATATGTACTTCAAATATAAAGAGTTGGTCACCCAAATTACAAAAATCATTTCTCTCTTGCTGTCATCTGCTTTCAAATAAGACTCTGGATTAAATAATGTAACCCAAATGACATTCACCAATGTTTTGGGGTAGAGGCTAAAATTTGGGGACAAATATTTCAAACCTTGTCAAATATAATCAACCTACTGTAACCACTTGTGTTGTTAAACCTCAGTAAATGAGAAAATGCTTTTATTTTGTAATGTGGCTGAACCAGCTCTTTAAGTATAAACTTGTTTCTGGCCACTGGTTGGTTCCACCAGAGTGCAAATTTGACAGCAACATATTTATGTTGTTGTACACACATATACACTGTTGTGTATTGACAGCAGCTCGTTCCCACAGCATCCAACCCTGATGTGAACATGTCAGGCGCAACCTGTACATGCTGCCCCAATTTACCCTTTAGGAAGATGATGATCACAAGAAGGCAGACACACACGGGTGCACACGCATACTTTGAGCCAGCACACCCACCCACACGTGCCCACACAAATAGAGTATACACTGATATGTACAGTTATCTACAGTTATCTTCACTGAACTTCAAACTTCAGAAGCTTGTAAATTCAGTCAGCCCTATTTTCCCATTTAGAAGTTTTCTTGCGTTCTCGAACAGTGCAGATCTTCCTCCACTCTTTTTTGGTCGTTTTTTTTTAATCAGCTCAGTGTCACTCCTAAGTGCTCCTTGCTTTACACACCCTTATTTCTGAGCGTACGACTGAATAACACTGAATTTTTCACATCCCTCCTTATCTGCACTGCTTCTGCACGACACATCTCAATGCAACTGGCATCAGTTGGATTTGTGTAAAGTGCTACAACCGGTTATTGAAAGAGAAATAGGAAAACTTGTGATCAAATTATGGAAAGTAATTTCAAACATACTCTTGCAGTCGTTATCATGCTCACAAACCTCTTTCACTGACACACACAAGCACACACACACACACACACACAGGCAACTCGTACTTCAGCTCCTCTTCCCAAGTGGCCCGTATTTATCTGCCTGACCTAATATTTTTATATTGGCAGAGGAGAAGATGTTTGAATGTCTTTTTAAATGTGACATTGCACAGAGCGTAGCAGGCAGGGTTGATGGTGCTGTTGATGTAGCACAGCCAGTAACCAATAGTCCACACTGTGCTTGGGATGCAGCTGGAGCAGAAGGTGTTAATAAGCACCATTACATTATAAGGAGTCCAGGTGGCTACAAAAGCTACCAGGATGGCCATTATGGTGCGGGTCACTTTTTTCTCCCGTGACGGTGCTGCCTTCTTCTTCTTGTTGGGAGGCTGCTTAGTCATCTTCACAATTTTCCGAGCCACATGATTCTGCCGCTCTGTGGCTGGGACAATCTCCACAGTGGCATTGGATGGTGTGTAACAGTCACTCTTGGGTGATTTGGTCTTGATCTTGATGCAGGTCAGCTTGGAGCCCCCTGCCTTGGCTCTTGGACGTGGGAGTGGCTGGTTTGTCTCAGCACTGGAGTTAGCAGCAGAGGGTGCCACCTCCTCCTCCTTCTGGTTGGATGCAGCCACACTGCAGGATGTAGAGTCATTGGAGCTTTCCTTCTCTTCTCCATGAGCGCAGTTCTCCCTTGCACCATCATCCCCTTCGATTTCTCCCTCAGCATTTGTTGAGGAAGGTCCTTTACCATTCTGCAGTTTTCCATCATGCTGGTTGACTCCATCATCAGTATTCTGGCTCAGGGAACGTCCGGTGTCCTCCCCTGGTACGTTATTGTTGTTGGGTTTTGGCGTGTTGTTCCCCCTCTGGCCAGGCGACAGGGGTTCCGGGTTGGCCCCTGATGGCTTGCGGTTTTCCTTCTTCACACGGCTCTTGCTTGCTCTTGAGATCTGCCAGTAGAGCTGAATCATGATGATGACAGGCAGGTAGAAGGCGGCGATGGCTGTGCCAAATGTGACGGCAGCATTAGAGAAGAACTGGATGTAACACTCCTTCTCAGGTACTGTTCGCCCACCAACTATGAACTGCCAGAAGAGAATGGCAGGGGCCCACAGGATGAAAGACAAGACCCCGGCTGCAGCAATCATCATTCCTGCCATCTTGGTGGTCCTTTTGACAGGGTAGCTGAGGGGCTTGGTCACACAGAAGTATCTGTCAAAGCTTATGATGAGAAGATTCATGACAGATGCATTACTGACAACATAGTCCAAGGCTAACCACAGGTCGCACACCACCGGCCCCAGAGGCCAGTAGCCCATTACTATGTAGACTGTATACAAGTTCATAGAGCACAGTCCGATGATTAGGTCAGCACATGCGAGGCTGAATAAAAAATAGTTGTTGACAGTCTGTAAGTTCCTATTAACTTTGATGGAAAGCATGACCAAAATATTTCCAATAACTGTAACCAAACTGAGCGAACCGGCCACCAACACGATGAACACCACCTCCACAGTCTTGTAGGCACTTCTGCTCTCTTCCACAACGTCTGTGGTGTTGCCTTCAGAGGCATTCCAGTAGGTGAAATTGAATACATCCATGGCATTTGGTCTGTTGTTGCCACCTCCTACTCAGATAGAACCTAGAAAAGAGAATAAAAGAGACAATTTGTAAAGAGGAGCAAAATACAACTGTCAGCTTCAGCCTTCTAATCATGTGAAGAATTCTGAGTGGAAAATATAATAGGGCCATGGGTAAAGCACAGTTATATTATGCTAGTAGGTTTAACTTGTACATAAATACTTGTTTTCCTCAACCCAGAAAGAACTATCAAACATTTCCATTTAACTAAGTATCAAAATATAGTCAGTATAGTTAAATATTTAGGTAAATACCTTTAAAAGAATTAATCAATATATATCATCTAAAAACAAAAAGTTATTCAAATTCAAACACCAGATTACTGTGCAGCATCAGCAGCACCTCACAACATTTAACATACAGGTGTTAGTTTCAGACACATTCAGTAAAATATATTCAGTATGCTATATAATGCACAATGCCATTTTAATGTATAATGGTCTATTGATATTTGGTAGGCCCAAATATACATATACATGTCTCTATCTCTACAACCCAAAATCAGAAAAAGTTGGTATTGATGTAAAATCAAAATTAAAACTGAAAATAGTGATGTGTAAATCATTTGTGCCCTGTATGACATTGAAACAATACAGCAGCACATTATTTGCTGTGACACCTCATCAATTTTATTCTTTGTTCAAAATAAACACACACTTCAATTCTGATGCCTGCAACACATTCCACAAAAGGTTGGGGCAGTAAAGCACCACGGTGTGATGTTGCCGTTCCTTTTCACAACACCTAAAAGACATTTAGGGACTGAGGACACCAAGTGATTCATTGTGCCAGGTGTCATTTTGTCCCATTCTTCCTGCAAACAAGTCTTAAGGTGCAACAGTCCTGGGTCTTTGTCGACACAATTTACGTTTCAAAATGAGCCACACATTCTCTGTTGGGGACAGGTCGGGGCTCCAGGCAGGTCAGTCCAACACTCACCCTCTTTCTCTCCACAGCCAGGCCTTGGTGATGTGCAGTATGAGGTTTGCATTGTCTAGTTGAAATAATCATGGATGTCCCTGGGACAGATGTCATCTTGAAGGCAGCACATGTTGCTCCAACATCTCTTTGTATTGTTCAGCATTAATGGAGCCATCACAGAAGTGTGAGTGACCTTTGCCCTGGGCACTGACACAACCCCAGACCATGACAGACCCTGGCTTTTGGACTGGTTGCTGCTAACAGTCTGGATGGTCCTTTTTGTCTTTGGTCCAGAGCACATGGCGTCCATTCCTTCCAAAACAGACCTGAAACACTGATTGGTCTGACCACAGTGCACGTTTCCACTGTGTGATGGTCCATCCCAGATGGCTCTGAACCCAGAGCAGTCGACTGCTGGACACTGTTGACACAGGGCTTCTTTTTGGCACAGCACAGTTTTAAGCAGCATTAATGGATGTAACTACGTACTGACTCGGGTGAGCCAGAGTCAGACACAGATGATTTACACATCAGCATTTTCAATTTTAATATAGATTTTACATACCATCCTAACTTTTTCTGATTTGAGGTTGTATCTATAACTATTGGAATGGGCAGTGTGACCTTTTCTGTGCTACATAAGCTTTTAGCCACAGTCTAAAATCAATTCATCTATTAATGGTGACAATTTTCTATATACACCAGTTAAACTGGCAATTAGAACCACTGATATCTGGCACAGATATTTTCATAATCAGAGCATGAATAACATCTCCCCATTAGACACCTGCTTCATCATAAAGAAAAAAAATACAAGGGAAAGCACAATATAAATGCACATGGCTGATTAAAAAAGTATGGAAATGAGCCAAACAAGGATATCACGATAGCATCAGCATGGTGACACAAAGGTTAAAATCAAGCACAATTCATTTCAAGTTAATCAGTGGAAGAGGCTGTTTATCATTAGACAAATAAGTCTAATTTTGTATCAGTGCTTCCAAATAGTGGATTTGAACCACCTGCAATACCAGACTACAGTATAAAGATAACAAAATAAAAACTGCAACTAGCAAGATAGAAATCAATGTGATGTAGGAAAAATACATTTGCTGACAATTCAAAGCTTGTGTAGCTCCATTTGTATCAACATGGTATTTATTTTTTCATACACTCAAAGCTTTACTTTTTTCGAGGCTTTTATCTTGCCTATCCAATTTGATAGAGACCATTTTAGACCATATAATGCCTAATGACTAGCTTGTGGGTTCAATCACAATACTCTCATTTCTTCTGCATTGGTTTCCAAGCCCCTACATCTGAGGTTGATACCCATTTTAGGTCCAGTCTTCCATTGTGTACATACAAGCACATGTATTATAAAAAACAAGTGGGGAAAGTGTAATTATACACCACACACAGTCCATATTACAAAGAGCTTAATAAAAAAAAAACTTTAAAAAGGAATAACTGACTAAATTGGAGCTGCCAGTTTATCTTCAAAGGTCTATTTCTTATTTCCACTTAAAAAAATTTCCCTCATAGTGCTTCAGCACTATAAAATTCTTTTGATCACCAAGTAGACCACTAGTTTTGCTTTTAACTTTAAACATTTGCCTGTGCCGTAGACCACTTTATATGCAGCTCAGCTCTGTGCCTCATTGGCCTTTGATAGTAGGAGTTATATGATTTGTCTGCTCCGTGTCTTGAGATGGGCAGCAACTCTTGGAGCCTTTTCGAGCACTGTAGGTCAAATTTTATGGCGTACTTGGTGGCTTAACACGTCTCAGTTTGATATCAGCATCATCAGGCTGGAGTGCTGATTCACGTTTTCTCACAAGATCGCTTTGTGGTTGTAGATTTTACCTTTTCTTCTTTTAGATTCTGTTTTTTTCAATTCTTGTAACTTAGTTTACTTTTAGAATATCATGATAACCTGTGTAGGTTACTCACTTGACTTAAGCCTGATGGTGTCAGTACATTGCCCACTGACTATCTGATGAGGTCTAACAATGAGAAACCGATTGTAGCCGCAGTTAATGAGTTTTTATGTGTGACACATAACTGCATCTGGAGAGTTGTCTTGTCCAAAACGTTGCCATTTTGGCTTAAGGTCTTTAACAGTTGAGCACAGTTGCTGAGTATCGAGTGAACATTCACTTATCTGCTGTGCCAGAAATCCCTAATCATTGCATTAGACATGGAGCTAAGCTGGCCTAATCCCCATAAAATGTTTAAGTCCACAGATTTACATTCAACATCACCAACAATACAAATAGGACACACTTGCGACTCGCTCGAGACAAGTGGATTAGAGAAGTGGATCAGTATAGATGGTCATAGCACAGTGGAGGCAGTTAACTCCTCTAACTGCTCTTTGTCCACCTTCAGTTGCCATGAGCCTTGTCCCACACCTAAAATGTCTGCCATGATGCAGAGAAAGTGGCACCCTTGGCCAAGATATCTAAAGATGCGCAAATCCTGTTCAGTGCAACATGGACAGCAGTGGTTTCCAAAAAAGGTCTCAGGGGGCAGACCAGGCTTGGTTTTAAAGCTTCCAACCACATACTGTGAACCATGTTAGTATGAAGCTACTGCAAAAAAGACTGTTCTGCTTCCAAGGATAGCCAGTGTTGCGCTTGATTTGAGCCAGTCAATGTGTAGTCTTACAGTTTTGCTTGTAGAATTTTTGCTTTATAGCATGTACCCAAGATACAGTAGGAAGTTATACTGAACACAAAAGAGAAAAGTTCAGCACTGACTGGCAGAAATGCTGGTATTCCAGCAACCCGCTGAGCATGAGTGGAATTGCCATCACCTGGGGAGAGCAGCAGTGGCACTCTTGCATACAGTAGCTATCAATCATGCAGCTTACCTGCAAGTCTCAGTATGTCGGTGCATCTGACAGAGCCCAATCAGAACATGAGTGACACCTCCATTATTATTCCAAGATCATTATTCAGATTTTTCTCATTTATCGCATCAACCTTCTTAATGGAATAACATGCTCATTATACTTGAAGAAAACATTAGCTGGGCTTGGCATCTTACTGCAGCTTATGCTCAACATCCTCAGTGAGTCACACTTCAGAAGTTCAACATGTGTCAGAGGATTCTGAAATCCCACATTTGGCTTTTTTGTTTGGTGTTTAGAAAAAAAGTGCAACTAGTCTGTTGCTGCCATGCGAGGATGTGAATAAATGAGCTTTAATATTGTTCTGGTTCAGACTTAGGTATTCACTCACTGAAGCTGAAAATTGCTTTGGGCCACAAAAAGGACCAACCTCAACCTTTCTCCACAACTTCCGTCTCCACTTTATCTTTTGTAGTGGACTCCAGGATGGTCAAATGTCCAGTGGGTAAAGCTAAATAACAGCACTGAAGTTATTGCATTTTTCCTTTGCCTTTTATTTCAAGTTAAATGACTACTTACACAGGTCACTGGTTTTGTCAGGGACAATAAACAGGTATTGGCTTTCTGTTGATGTAGCTTTAAGCATATATATATAAAAGCATTCTTTCCAAATGTGGCAGCTGTGTAACTCCACAGATACAGTTGACTACCTGCTGGTGTCCAGATTCCCATTCCCCATCTCTGAGTACTGATCCAAGGTAAAGCCCGGGGTCTTTGCCACCTGCTTGCAATGACTATATGCATTTTCATTGCTGGCCCTCTCCATGGTAGTGTGCAGGGTCAGTCCTTCATTTACTTGCTGTTTGCAGAGAAGCATGACTGGAATGCAAAACCTATCACTGCTGCAGTTTAGCAGGTCCACCGGGGTGCAGAGTAATTCAGTTCTCCTCTCACTGGTATTACAGTTCATTGATATAAGGAAGTTTTATGTCAGTGCTCCATTTGCTCATCCTAAACCCAAGGCTTCCCTATTTTAGACAAAAATCATACAGCAGATGTCAATGGTGTAAATGTATATGTGTCAGTGTAACATGATAAAGTGGAATGGCTTGAACTGGTTCATATCAGTGATGTTAAACAAAGTGGAAGACTATAGGACAATATCCTACATCTCCTTTTGGACTCAACCATCAGGGTAAGTTTCTGCTTAGGTATATATTAGCTCA